ATAATGCCACTAGAAAGAGTAGATGGCATGGCAATGGTTGACATCGGTGAAGCACTGGAAGAGTTGGATCCCGTCCACAAGCCTGCCAATGAAAAAGGACAAAACTGTAATTAATTATTGTTAGGAAGTCACAGTGCATAATTCACTTTTTTATTCACAAAAGGATGAAATTTATAACTGATGCAGGCTTCCTGATCATGGGACATTTCAGACATCGGACCTGTGAATACATTCCCCTATGAATGCCACTTTTTGTAATCTACCACCGGACAGTAATACTTCAGTTTTATGATACGGTCAATAAATACTTACTGCCATTGGATCCCAAACAGCTCCGCCTCTCAGTGTCTGCCACGTCATCACAGAACGGTTCCAATCCACTCTCAGGCAGAGGATTTACGCAAGTCCTGGATCTAGCCTGGTTTCCGGAGCGACACATTTGGGTCCAACTTGTCCACTGTGACCAATATCCTCTGACTAACGACAAACGGAGCGAGCATGAGACACTATTCTCCTTCGTCAGAAAACTCTTTTGTCTCTTTTGTAAATTGTTCTGCGCCAAGTCCGACTGTTGGAGTACTGATGGGTGCTTTTAGGGTAAACTTCGTTCGTCAGGTGTCTTTCAGTTAAGTCCAGAGACTATAATCTAGATCATAATCTCTTGGTCTAGTTAGAAGTTAGTCTAAGTGTTTATACAGACAGTGAACAGTGATCAATGGATGCGAAATCCGATTCAAACTTAGTGTTTCGTTGGCAAATTACCAATGCTAAAGGCTCTAATGGGCTCCAGCTTATCATTCTTCACAGAGCATTACACTAAATAAATGTAACCCTTCTTCTGATATGATATTTGTTGTAATATGTAAAATCTGAGGCTTTAATCTTACAGCTACATAAGTTGTGTATATAACTGCGATGATCAGTCATCCGGAATTCATGAAGGGGTTTTGTTAAATGCTAACTGGGTGCGTAACAACGTTGGCGTAACGTTTTTAACAACATAAATTGTTAGCAAAACCTTTAATTAACACCTCTTTACGAGACGAAGAGCATCCCTGCCCCTTTCACACGGAGGTCCCCTCCCGGGTATGACAGTACTTAGACATAACAAACTCAGCATTATATCATCATTTATTTCCACAATGAACTCATGTGTCCTCAAACTAACCTTTAAAGACGTTGTAGGCACAATGGAATCCACCAAATTCTTTATCCGGATCCGACACAAAACGTATGCTCATGTTACCTTCTCGTTCAAATGTCAGAGAATAATTTAAAACACCGCAATATCTTCCCAACACCGCGGAGGCGGCTGAAGGGCCCGCCAGTATCTCCATGTAGTCAAAAAAGCAATCTTTCTCGTATTCCAAGGCGATTTCGTCACATTCAAGTGTGATTTGCATGGCGGGGTGGAGTTGTATCGTCCACAGACATTCCATAAAGTTTGGATAGTCGTTTGGGTAATTGGGCGAGGTTATGACTCCACTGGTTTGATTGGTATCAACTTGACAGTCTCCTGAAAGCCGGGAAAAATATGCGGTGGAATTCTTACTTCCAAAATGCGATTCTTAATTTATAGTCTAAGAAAATGGTTTAGCAGATCACTTTTAATCTTAATGAAGGTTTCTTTTAAATGGCTTTTTAATTACTTTTCTCCAGGCAAACTTTGCCCTCTTTAAATGTTTTCTTTAAAGAAGTGCAAGAAAGCTACTTAAGTCTCCAAAATCGCTTAAATCTAAAAACTCTGCCTCGCGGCTTCATGTGAAAGACGACGTGAGCTAGTTGTTTTGAATGATTTTTTTTACTCACCAATGTGCTGTAACTGAAAGCCTCGTTTGAGCTCGTCGATGACGTCATCAGAGACAAAGTGTATTAAAACGCGAGACCCGGATGAAGTGAGCTCCGTATACCCTACGTCCCCACAATACCTCGCAATCAGCGGGGACGTCATGCTGTCTCCATCTCTGATCTCTAGGTAGTCTGTGTCACATGTTGTCTGTTGTGGAAGAATTTACACACACAGTGAATACAAGATCCCTCAACTGCTTTGCGCTTAAACGACTCAGTCAACTCACACAAACATCATTTTCCCGAAGTAGAGATTTCATCAGGGTCGAAACAAACGCGCGCGAGTTTTCAGATTAAATGCCCCAGTAGGGAAACCCACGTAAAAAGGACGGGGGCTCGTCCGAGCAAATTTTAAGATTCCCTAAGAGGTACCAAGATCCTGCTTTGTGTGCGTGGCTCAATACCTTAAAAGGTACCGCCAAAGCTCCGCCTGTGGACCTTTTGAGGCTGAACACCCTAAGAGGTACCAAGATCACTGTTTTAAGGTACGACGAGCACCCCCACCGGGGGATTAAATGTGGCACGCAGTCGAGATGAATAACATGTAGACGAACTTAGAAAACTGAGGACAAAAATGAACCTACAAATTATACATGGTTGAGTAGCATGCCAATCTCGTTCTCAGAGCCTTCGTTGCCCTTGTCTAGCGGAACGGGGCTGGACAAGGGTAACGAAGGCTCTGGGAACGAGATTGGTAGCATGCAGGTAATCATCTTCTACGCACATGCGCTTTCGAGTTGCGAAAGAAGGCGCGGGGGAATCTTAGGGGCCTGGCCTATCCACAGAACTTATCAGCAGATAATTTCAGAGGAGAATTTAAAGGGGCAAGAAGGCGTAAGGAAAGCTGTAGGTCCCAAGTCTTGCATTTGCCCTTTACGTGAATCCTGAGTTTAGTCTGCAGGCCTTACCTGTAGAGTTGAAATGATTATCCTCACTCTATTTCCCTGAGACACAGATTTGATCCATGTAAGACTGGAGTTTGCTGGATAGGAGTCAGGGTAGCCGGGAGAGGAAAGAAAGTCTGCCCACTTTGTTATGTATACTGGATCTGAGGCTGACATGTAATAAAGCAAACGTTGGGCAAACAAATGAACAAACAACAATTACATTTAAAAGGTGAATCAATCAACATGACAAGAGCGTTTTCTTACCTTGTCCCACCCTCGTGTCATGTTGATTAATTCAGTCACTTTTCACATTTTAGTTACCGAGCTTAAAATTCACTAGCTTTATTCACTTATCGCAACTCACGATGACTTCGACAGTGCTGATCCTAGCAGTATACAGGACGCCTGTTACATGTCAACTCAGTTAAATGAGTTACCGTAGCTCAGCGCATAGAACGTCCGCCCGGTGTTCGGGAGGTCATGGGTTGTATTCCTGTCGGGGACTCAGATTTTTTTCGTTGTCCCACGTTCTTGTCATGTTGATTAATTCACCCTTCAAATTTCATTACCGAGCTTAAAATTCACCATCTTTATTCACTTATCAAACAACAGACCAATTTTGATATATTAAAATTCAGCCTAACACAATAGACATCAGCACGAGGCTCTGAGGAATAGGCCACAAACGCTGTAGTTATTCCCCAGAACCTCGTGCTGAGGTCTATTGTTTTAGGCTGAATTTTAATGTGTCGAAATTGGTCTATTACATCTTCCTTCGTACCTTTTTCAGTGCCCCCTACTCTTATGCCATTGGAAGTCTACTCTTTCTCCTATATTCCAGATTTGAAAGGTCCCTAAAGTTTTTGCGAAAAATCCAAGTCGTAAAAAAAAACGAACCAGAGATTACCACTACAAGACAAAGCTCACAACTTCACACGTCAGTGGTGTAGAGAACTTGTGAAACTGCTGTGACCAAATTTATTCCACTGGTTGGTCATTTAGGCTGTGTTCACACTTGATGCCCGCCCGCGTGCACTGGTGGCTGGGGACCTGACACATAATAGTGTCGTGTTCAGATACTGGGTACCCCAAAAAGGCTTGAGACGTTTTACCCAGGCACAGGCTGAATGCGCCCAAATTCTGGTGAGAGAACACGGAAAGAGGTGTGTGGATATTAGTGCCAAGCGAGAATTGTCCTCGGGCACCGTGTTTCAGTGAGCGCCAAGTGTGAACATAGCCTTAGAAACTGATATGATTGAATTTCAATTTAAGTGCCCTTTTTAGTATAAAATCAGTTTAAGAGAGTATAAGCACTCCTTACCCGCTGAAGACTTGAACACAAGAATGCTTGCAAACCAACCGATAAGAATACTACCCTGGAAATATAAATGAGAAATAATCTTTTATTTGCATGGACTTTTACAAGCTCGGTAAGGAAATCGTTCTCCGTTAAAGCAAATAATCAATGTAATGATCAAACGCAATTTATGATCTCTCTGAGAGTGATGGCTCAAAAAAAATACTCTGTATTGGAAGTGTTGAAAAGTTAGTTTGTTCCTTGAGACTGCGGAAACAAGAGTTGCCCTCACTTTAGCCCTAAATACGTTAGAAATAATGGATACAAATGACCTGAAAGAATCGAACCACTGTCACAGTCAAGAGACTTCATTAAAACATTTTTACTTTTTCAGTATAGAAACACTAATATGCACGAATAATGCGCTTAATTATTCCAAATATGCCTGAATAGTTTGTGGAATCTTTAACACTATTATTGCGATTATGTAAAGGGACTTATAAAATAGACCAAAGTTCACACTTTCTTCGTGATAATACTGACACCAAACTTTACGTAATTTCACTTATTTTCCACACATCAGTACTATTAATACTGTAGCTTCTGAATGAACGGAAGAATGAATGAAAGTGTCGATGCTATTTAGCTTAAAAAAACTAATTGGGGACACTATTTGCATAGCAAAATATATCTTAGCTGAAAACTATCTTAATTAGTTCAGAAATCATAGTACAATTCAGTTAACATGGAATGAGTGAGTCTTTCAGCTTGATACTAAATGTTTCCTTTCCTTGTAGTTTCGGTAAACAAGGATTCGAACTTTATGCAGCGATGTAGTTTCTTGTTCAGGTCTTTAGTTTTCATACCATTCCTTTTATACGTTCGTATGTAATTCACCACATATGCTAAGAAGAATTACTGAAGACTTGCTTGTGAGCGGTTAATTACACCCATAAAAGATTTAATTTAGTGCTGCACTGCGACCTAAGCTTCACGCGAAGTGACCGCGAAACTTCGCATTTTTTCTTTAAACACACGCGTTTACTTTCCAAGGTCAGCGCAATAAATATACTTAACGTGATAAAACATCGCAAAATTAATTTGTTTCCGCAGAAAACCGCTACTTTATTTGCATGGTGAGAGAAGTTTGATTACGTACTTCAACATATAATTTTAAACCATCCCTTTACCTTCACCTTTCCCAAAAGTGTGTGTTTCATTCCTCGGATGATTAAATTTCACGCCCAAGCCATGTTCTCAAAACTGTTTTGTATCGGGTGCAAAACAATTCTATATAATCTTGCCTCGCAAAACAATTTTCGCCTTGATGTGCCGACACCCTATAAATACTTAATTTGCGGTCGGAAAGCGATCGTTCTCAGGTGCGAAAACGCAAGATTTGTGATTTGTTTTTCTGCCAATTAGTCTAAACTCCATTGATTAATCTGTGGATTTTTTGTTTGGGTTTACTGCGTTTAGGGGGATAATTGACAAAAGGCAAGAACGTCACTGTAAAAAAAAAACATAAAAGGAAAACTGATTAGTATGGGGAGAATTTCTCTCTTCAGGAGCTATCTCTATACAGCATCGGCGGAATATATAAGTTGTATCGAAAATGGGTTGGGACTTGTGTTTTGAAAAGGTTTGGAGTGCTTCATTTTAAAAACTTTCAGGGTTTGTTGCACATTATGGTACCCCTTGGGGTACATTTTTCAAGGTCAGCCGCAAACTGAAACGGGAAGAACTTGCCGACAGAACATAAACAAGTTGTGAGCTGGTTTAACAGTCGCTACCTTATAAGAGTTCCTATTCATTGAGATCCCAAGACACAATTCCGTGCTATCTGCTATATAAAGTCGCATGTGCCGTTTTGCCTTTGTTATGTGCCCGATAGTCCCTTAAAACAAGACGGATGTTTTGTGTGTCATGCATGCATTCATGAACAACTTCAGTAAAATAACAAACAACTTCTACTTCCCGTGAATTCGTTACAAAATAATTAGATAGATTTTGACGCTAATTCCATTGTCTTCTCTTTAGTTTTGACTATTCAGCGGTAGCTCTAGATCTTAGTCCTTGTTTCTCTCCATCATGGCGTAAGTGCTTATCTTAGTAAGTATGAAAAAAAAAATTGTCTCCCATTAATAACGGCGTAACATGATTAATATTAAATAACTTTTGTGTCGACAATTGATTTGCAAGCTATCGAGCATTGCAACAGTATCACCACGCTGTTTATGTTTTACTCATAATGCGTAGGAATTTTTGAACTGACTATGCATGGGTAGACTAGTAAGCTACAACATGGAATAGCCTGTGAACAGGCTCTCTACTTCACTCTCAGCGGGCAGTTCCAACTCAGTCTTTCCAGCTTTGGCTGGAGCTTGTTCACAGGCTACAACATGGACTCACTACTCTAACCACGCCTCTGTAATGTCTCGTGAACTACGGTAGCGAAACGGTAATGCATCAATTTGGAGAACGTGGTTTCCAAAGATTTGACATTTTCTGTCCTACAGTTTCAACATTGACAGCGAAGACAGGGAGAACCAATCACATCTCGGAACACTGTTGAGTTATCGATTACTTTAGCCAATCACCGTCGAGTAAAACACATTTTCTATAGCGACATAATGAAGTTAAAGTGAGCCAATTGGCAGATGATACTAATCACTTTTGCGAAGATATTACCTCTGTTGACAAAGCTCTCTGTTTAGTTAACGACTTTGCGCCAGTTTCTGGTTTAAAACTCAATGTCAAAAAGACCAAGGCACTTTGGTTGGGTAACAGAACGACACCGTTTTTCCTATAGTGACTGCAGCAATAACTGGATCGGTTCAGATAAAGGTTCGGCCCTTTGTTTCGGATCTGGTACATGTACGTGCACCAACGGAGCTTTAAAATATAACTGATTGAATCACAACTGAACCAAAAACAAAGGTTCGACTTGGCCGGAACAGTGCCCCCCAGATAAAGGGAACCATTAAGAAGTAACAACGATTAACCATGGCGAGGATCTGGAAGAGAATTGCAATTTGGGAAAAAATTGAAATAATACAGTGATACAGTATGTCATTTAGTTCAAGGATAATGGATGGAAATTACAGCGGAAGCCGCGGAAAAAATGTTTCATCGTCGATCCTTTACTGAACACTTGTCGCTGGCTGTGAATATTCGATTCAATTCCACTTAAAAATATTTTATTCGCGTAAAACGGAACTCAAAACTAACATCCGCTTAGAGTTCCTTTTTCATGAGTCACATGAAAAGAAACGTGCTTTATCTCACTAGTTCTTAATTCTTTCACTTTCCAAAACTGGATGGTAGAACTGCCTCTGATACTTCGTCTGATTACAGAGGATCGGTCCCATCAGCTCATTTTACACAAGACCGGTTTCAACGGACATTGATCCGGCTCAGCCCAGCCAGTCTGACAGAAGTCACACCGTTATGTTCTTGTGGTCGACAAACTTGTATCTGGGGAGAAAGTTGGTTTTGCGTGTATTTTGGAGTATAAAACTAAACGCTGCGAATTAAAATCGGTGGAATTACTAACAAGTCACCGTAAAAACCGTCGAAGATGCTTGGCTTTTAGAGTACATGATTCACCGGATGGATCTTGAATATTAAACCTCAAGAATTTGCCGGAAAACATGCTGTTGTGACGTGAACCTAGGCAATAAAGGTGGCTAATAGAAATGACCTAAAACGTTAATCAAGAATTCCATGAAAAACTCGTAAAATGAATCTGCTCATCAGTTCAACAGCGGTTATATAATCACAGTCATTATATAACCTCACGTTTAATGGCCTTTAATTGTCGAGCAACGAAAAACAAAAGAAAGTCTAGGCACCGTTCTTGAAATGATAAGTACTTTTATTTAAATCTCTGATACGATGGCAGTATTTGACATCATTGCTATACGGACCACTTGAAAAACAAAAAGATACTTGACAAGGCCAGGTGAACTGATCATGGCCATCAACGAGGAACCCCGGCTCTACCAAATCTGCAAGAAAAAGAATTGAAAATTCACAAATGATCATCAATGTATCGACCGAACTATTCTATAGCGCTAATGAAACAGGAACCATGGTGTGTTTCTGTTTTCTTGTAAGAAAAATTCGGAACGACATTAACATTGTCCTTTTGCGATTCTCCTTTGTCGACGTAATAAATAAAACTATTAGGATATCTTAATTGATTAGATAACAATATTATAAAAATCAATACAAAGTTGGCAATGTCGAATAGCCATGAGGCAATTATGATTAAAAGATGGCTTGCTATCCAACAATAACAGTAAAACATATTCAAGAAAGAAAAAGGTCACGGCCATAACGTGAACTCAGAAATCTTCGGCCAATAATTCGTATCTTCAAACTAAATCTCAGTAATTGGTATATTTGAACAAGTGGCTGTCACTGAGCAAATTCGACTATTGAAGAGCTTTGCATCTTCGCTAGCTGACACGGAAAGAAAATCCAGGACTTTTATCTTAGTATGTATATTAGAGAACAATGCTACAATAAATAAGGAATGCCTCTTTTAGTTCGCGGTTTCTCTGTTCAAGAAACCAAGCTATTACATTCTTGGGAAAACAAAGGCGATACAATTGTTGTATGGAGGTGTCTGTAAATCTAGTCACGCCAATTATCCTTCGTATTATCGTGTGAACCAATCAGCGCGCGCGCTTAAGCTCATAACTTATGAATCCGCGTCACTGCGATTTCCGATTGCTCATTTTGCATATGGAGGTCAAGATTACCCAAGATTTCATCTTCTTCTAGTTATCGCTGCACACAAAACAACAGTCAGGAAACATGTCTTCTTATTCAGAAACTTCGAGCGGTAAGCTTTGATTTGGTGCTTGTAGAGTTCTGGATTTGATAACTAACTGGGCAAGTTTAGTGTCCTAAATGATAAATCGCGACCGTATAAATTCTCGCTTGTTTGCATGCAAAGCAGCATTGACCTCAAGGGCTAGTTGCTATCTTTCGTTTAAGGCAGCTAGCTGATTATTATTTATTGCTTTGAAGATCTTTTTCACTTGACCCGGCCGACTGTTAAAAGCAGCCCCTAAATGAGAGCATGCATGATTTTAGTCGTTTAGCGACACACCTCTCGGAATCTTTTACAATCATTGAATTCCTGATAAATGTCATTGATTGCTATTTAATACTGCACTTAGAAATCTTAAAATATTAAGAGAATTGTCGACCGAAAACAGTGTTGGGTTTGAAGTGTTCTTGAATTTGGCGAATAGAAATTTAAACGCTCATAATTCCTTGTTTCTAAACAGAGGAGAGGAGACGAAGAAGACGAGAACAACGCGCTGAGCAAGAGACATCGGAGGAAATGGTGAACTAAAATATGCATACTAAACATAATTGTCACATTGTTCCTCCAACTTTACTCCTTCTCGAAAGTAACAGTCTCTTCCAGCCTTGATATTGCTTTTCTAACCAAAGAACCGTGCTTGAAAATCTATTTTAGCCAGCAATCCTAGGAACTGGTTGTTTGGTGTCGAAACAATCAATAAAATTATAGGTGCATTCCTGAAGCGTGTCAAGACCTCCAGTCGATCGACACGAAAAAGTACGTATTTACAATTGCAAAAGCTCGATTTTAAGCGTCGCGGACTTTCCGCTTATGGTTGCTCCTATTGTTTGCACTCGCTCGCAAGACAAGATTTACTCGTCGACAAATAACTCTACGTATCGTGTCTGTGAATCTAAACGTTGTTATTCATTATCTTGCTGTAATGATCTTATCTCCATCAATGGCTTGCGGTAATTGGATACAGTGCGTTCGTCAAGAGCTCGGTCGAACTTTGTTCAATACTGTGTATGTTCTGTGAATAGAAAATCCATGTTGATAGATTTATTGTAGATGTTAGGCAGTCACTCTCTCGTCTCTCCCAGATTAAATCTAGCGTTACTGATTGCTTGATAATCGCACTGTGAAACAATTTTGATTGGGTTTCGACGATATTATTTATTCAAGCGCTGACATTAGAAAATTATGTCCAGAATGTAACAGAATGAGTGAATTAAGAAGCAAAAACCTAGTATATATACACAAGTGGGACCAACATTTTCTCCTATTTATGGACTTTATGTGGGGAGGGGAGGAGATGTTACAGATGGTTTCGGTGGAAAGAATATAAATTACATGCTACACTTGAGTATAACTGTGCTTTAAATCACTCAAGTGCATAGCATGTAAAAGCTTTAATAAGGCCCCCTTCTATGCTTGACAAAATAATGCTAATTTGTTGCCATTTTGGAACAAAGTTTATATGTTTTTCCTGATCGTACTTATGGAGTACATGTACAATACATATACAGTGCACGTACTAAAAGTATTCATGTAGATAATTTAATTAATAATGTTATAATTACATTGAATTTAGTATTAACTTGTTTACAACAGACCAAAATTAATACTACATGTAATTCTTGCTTGTGTACATGTACGTGTACACACAAATGATTACCTTCTAAGAATATTTATGGTTTTCATTGACACTATCATCAAAAATCAAGAAAAATACATCTAACTGTCAATTTTACAAAGCTATGCTTTTCGCACATTCTAGAAATGTAAAGCAAATCCCTATGCAAAGTTTAATATCAAATCAGTGTATCATTTCAGAAATGAAGCAGTTTGAAATTTCTTATGTTCCAGATGAAAGTGTTTATAAATACGATCTGCCACAGGAGAAAAAAACCCTTTGCCTGCATACATGTACTCTGAGTGTCAGTTTTAATTTTCCACAATTGATAACAATTTGATTTAGTATTTACCTGCTTTTAACAGACAAGTACAAATTTTTTGTACGCGTAAATAAATGCATACACATCAGTGAGATATATAAGACCACACCAAGTTTCATTTGAGCCAAAATTTAGAGAAAAAATACACATGTAACATGTAACAGTCAATTTTTAATTTGCATATTCCACAAATGCACTGTCAAGCAAATCTCTACATGAATTATGATATCAACTCAGTGAGTAATTTCAGAAATGAAGCATTTTGAAGTTTATGATGTTCCAGACAAATTTTGTTTGTTGAACTGCCACAAAAAACCGCAGATACCTTACATGACAGCTTTCATTTTCTTGAAAATTATTTTTCTAATTCATGTACAAAGTAACTGGTAACAGAAACATCTCAAAGCTATAATTTGGGCAGACTGTTCCATTTGGTCTGGGTCCCTTGTACCTCAAACCTGTTAGTTTTACAATGTAGCTCATGCAAGAAAACCATTTTAGAAATTTTTATGACATCTGCAAAATACATTGTATATCTGTACGTCAGGAGTCTGGGAAGAGTATCTCCAGTTCTCTCACATCTGTAGTCATTCCCAGACTCCCCTGAAAACCACTCGCAATCGTAAAGTTGTGATTATTAAATTAAAAATGCATTATTTATTTTATTGTCATACGACCTTCTAATTTAAGTTCTGGGAATTTTATGCTACATCAGGACAAAATACAAAACTCACTGGCATTTACAATTCAAACTTACAGGAGGTCTATTGTTTTCAAAATTAATATTTTGAAATTCTTGTGACTCACTGTCACAGTGGTAAGAGTTTTGTCGTAATTGTACATCAAGAGAATATCCAGATTTCTGTAAATTTATACACTTTAAATTCATATTTCATATCGTGGATTGCCACTATTTTTCTTTTGTCCTTCGAGTTAAAAAAAGTATTAACCACACTTGTCTCAACAATTATACAGTAGTTGCATTGTTACACTGTTGTTAAGAAAGATAAATATTCAAAAGGGCATGGTCATGCTTCATTTCCTGTAAGTGTTTTCTGTTTCAATTTGTAGATGAATTGAGAGTTTATTTTACTGCTTATGCAGCTTAAAAGAGTACTCGGAGTTTTAAATGAACTGAAACAGTGTAAAAAGCCAACTTGTCTATGAACAAAAACACAGTGTGCACCACAGCTGTGCACTTCCGTAACGGGGAGCTGGCCGTCAAAGTGTAGTTGCAAAAGCTTCTAGATCTTTCTTCAACATCACTCTTTTTGCATAATAGTGTACTAACAAATTACAAACACTAACCTGTTCTCCACTCACTACGTTCAGCCTTGATGTGAATTTCTCTCCTTTTGCCTTTGGGTTTGAGAACTTTTCTAGTCAGCCCATCTTTAGAAAACAGTTCTGAATACACATGTATAGCTGCTAAGCTTTATTTGACTTGTGCCATCAAGTTATTTTCAGATTCTTTTCATTCTTAGTCACAAAGGCTCCTTCTATCACAAATACATGTCAAGTTGCCTTCTTCATTGTGACATTTGCTTCCCTTGGATAAGCTTCTGAAAGGAAAGCAAAATAGAAATTTAAATTGTACAATGGAATGGGTCTTCTTTTCTAGACAATCCTACAAAGTAATAAATTATATAAGGTTCAAAATTTTTTAAGGGTTATTTTTGTAATCCCCCTGATTATCAAACGCATCAACTTGTACTATCATTTGCAATCCAGTGATTTACAATGAATCACTAGTCAGACTGTAAACTTGTGATGAACATGTAGATGTCTTGGGAAAGCTGACTATCAGCTGTTAATGTAGTTTGTACATGTATGTAGGTCTACTAATTATCGAACTATGACCATCTTATCTGGTAGAACATAAAATATAAATACCTGAAGAAAATCATCCTTTACTATCTACGATTTTGTGTTTTCTTAGCTTATTTGAACATGTACAATTATGTACTTTTATGAAAATCTGAATCGTACACTGTCAATTGCAGCTGGTTATCAACAACATACATCCACCCTGCATGATCTGTACACTAAGATTTGTAGCTAAGGTCATACTATATTTTTAAACAGATGAAAATTTCTGTGCTTGAACACTTACATGCATGCGCTTTGAACACCTCTTTACTTCAAGGCAGTAGAGTTGAAAACCTCCAGTCCTCCACTCTTTTCTGTATGTGATGGAATGTGACATCTCCATTTTCCACTCCAGAGTTGCGTGATACTTGTGAGTGCAAACAACAACCTGAAACCCTAGATCTCATCAGTGTCGCAATTTGATCCTTGATCGTTCTGTTCCAAATTTTGTAAGTTGGCACTGCATGAAAACATTTCTAAATGCACTCTGTTGCTATTTTAGGAATTGTCTTTTCATATGAAATGTTTAAATTCTCGTTCTCAGGCATAGATGGCGTAAAAAGTAAGGAAAACCAAGTTGGGATGTAACATGTCAATTAGTAGCCTTGATGTTTTTTGTGTTGCCCCATGACATCTTGAACAAAGGGCATTGATTGAAGCTTGGCTCAACAATAAACTGAAATTGTTTTGTTGTGAGGGACCTGGGGCTGATGGAACAAGAGATAGCCAAAAAAAACTAATGAATGTGTGGCAGAGATTGTCAGCATTCCACAGGCCAACAAATCAATACATTAGCAGACGCCTTGGCTGCTGTCCTGTACTGCTCTCCTGAAGCTCTCTGTCCTCTGCCCTTAAATTTGCTGTGATCTTCACAGAGCTCATTCACCAAGTCAAGGTTTCATCTTGAGTGTTGTTAGTTCTGTGATCCTTAGTCTTCAAAAACTGAAATGGAGGTATGATTTAACTTTCCTTTGCCTTTGTGAAGTGTGGAATTGTCACATTATACCGAGCAGAGTGAAAGCTCAATGGAGGTTGGGTCACTCCCTTTAAATGATCTGTTTTCCAACTCTTTTCCAAAATTCCTTAAGTGAACAATTGTGTGAGATAAAAGTAAGCTCTTATTTCTAAACATAAAGCCATTTCATTCAGAGGACATGAAATTGCACTAAAAATTGTTAAGCCATTGGATTTCTGTAAGTCTGGTCAGCTCACGGAGCTTTCATTTATGTAAATTGTTTTGTTTACACTGGGATAATCTGTAGTTCAGTATTTGATCATTTTTAACATGCAACTAAAATTTCTTCTGGAGAATAATTCGTTATGTTGTTTTGGCTGTGTTTATAACACGCATGTGTGCAACAGATTCCATAGACAAATTTCCATTTCTCTTTGTATAGAATGGAACACTGTCTTATACTTGTATTATTGCTACAGTAGGGCTCTACTTGAGCAAATAAGTATAAATCTGCTTAGCCGAGGCAATCTGAACTAAAGGTGAATCTGTGGGATTTCATTACTCTTGAACCATGTTCTCAATATTTATTTTATTGACTCTGTTTGTGTCTAGCCACTTTTGGCATGTGGATGCTACAATATAAAGGCTCTAAGCCAAATGATAAAAGCTTAAGATAGCTGCTGGGTGCTAATCCTGTGGTAAATTTGCATTCTCCTCACAGCAGCGTCCCTTTTATGACTTATATTCAACTCTGTGTAATGCCTGAAGGTATTGGAGGTTTTAATCTGCTTCTTTTGTTAAAGAACCTCGCATGTATTGCAGCTCTTGCTGTTTACATGTATTCTATCAAAACTACAGGAAGCAGGCATTCTAACTTCATAAATGTTTTTCTTGGATCTGTATTTAACATTCTTCAAGAGAAGGGTATCTGTTACTGTAATGAGTGAGAAATTATAGTAAATTCTTTTGTTTTGTTGAACCTTGAAAAAGTTCTAAGTTGAACTCAAGCAAAGGCTTACAATACAAACATTTCTGGACAAGACAATAATTACAGGCTTTTAAATTTTTCTCTATATTTGGTCATAGTATTTGATTCACTAGCTTTTTAGCACATTCATCCATGCAATGAATCAGCCCAGAGGTCAGGCCATCCAATGACCCCACCCAAATTCTACAGCACATTCCTGAAGTGTTTTCTCTGGGCTCTGTGGCTTATCTGCTAAATTGTGGCTCTAGATTTCCATACAAACTGATTTATGTTCCAACAGTTTTTTCCTGTAACAAAATCTAGTGAGAATTTGCTCGGAAAAATCAAAATATCTGTGTGCAAAAGCATTACAAAATTGAAAGAAGAGGTGAAGCACATTAATTGTAGTGTGACACTGTTGCTCTTTATTTATATGTAAAGCTGCTTTGAATGTTTAACAGAGAAGAACAGTTGTTAGCTGTTGACATGAAACCCATGAACTCTTCATTATTTTGATCTATTCCTGCACTGTACAGATTAAGTGTTAAGTTTACATTAGATGAAATATATTCTTTGGTTAATTTGGCTCTTAGTCATTGGAAAACACAAGACAGATATTCCAATTGATCACTCGCTAATTTGCATTTTTATCCTGTTAATAGCAACTTTAATTTGCAGAGCCAGTGTTCAGCTGGTTGAACCAATTTCTAATAAATGACTTAAATTACCTTGGTTTCATAATTTATATCTTGTTGTTAGATGAACGTGTACCAACAGGAAAGGGAATCTAGTGTTTTTATTTTATTTTTTTCCCCTTCCCCGTTTTGGATGTCAAAATTTCACAGTAATCAATACATTTTTTGTACAAAATTGCACTGATTGTACTAATCTCCAGAAATTCTGTTGCATGTTATAAAATTAGAATTTAAATGTGTATGAGGTTTTAAATCATTGATGATCAAAGTTCTCAATTGTGCATATATATGCAGGATTCAATTTTAAATAACATTACACATTGAATTTTCAGTATTATTGGCATGGAAAGTCTTTGACAGTATTTGAAATATTTTGAACTCAAATTTTGACATAGATGTGAAGTACATGTAAATGTAACATCAGTTGAATGACAACTTTTAACAGTTGGTACACACAGAGCAGAAACTACATGTACATGTACATTAGGGGTTTCATTAGGGGCCGGGCAATGGACAAATCGAGTGGCTGTCAAGATGATTTTGCCTGCCTGGTTTGATCATCTAGAGGAATCTTCTTCTTCTAGAAAAGTTAGTTTCAAAACGTTTTGTCTGCCTGTGAAAACCAGTTGTTCTCCTGCTGAAAAAGTTAATGAAACCCCTGTGTACATGTAAGTTAAGTTAATAAAATTTTAGTCTGGTATTGAAACTGATTGCTTTAAAGAGCCCGAAAAATCTTAAGACAGGAAGCAAAAACACAATGACAAAATTATGAACAGTGGACACCACACTATTCAGGTCAAACAAATATTTCAATTAGACCAGCTTTAGAACTACATGTTCATCACAGAATAAATCTATAGTACATGTTGTTGAGGTGCAGTGGCTGAATGCTAGTTACTGGTCTTTTATGAGTCTTAGCCAGGGTCATTGTGTTGCATTCCTGGGCAAGAGATTTACAACTGTACATGTAACTCTCTCTGGGGACACAGTGTTTGGAGGTTTTTAGCATAATTTTCCTAAGACACATGCCCACTGTCTTTCTCAAACCATCATCACACCAACTTTTCATTTTCTTGGAAGTGAAATCCAACAGTAAATAATTCATGCTTAAAACTTCTTCGTAGGACGAAGCGGCTAAGAGAAGAGAGGCACGCAGAAAAGAACGTGAGGCACGGCGTGCGGAAAGAGATGCAGAAGATGCTGCCGATGAAGAAAAGAGGAAAAAGGAAAGGGAAGAAAGGCGAAAAAAGAGAGACACAGGAAAAGGTGTGTTAACATGTAGCTGATCTGTAAATTTTGTGAAAAAACTTCAGATCATGCTGTTTTTGTTAGTGACTTTCCAGACACTACTGCATGCATATACATGGGTGGTTTGACTTTGTGTGCAGCCCATTGACCTGAAATTTTAATTTACCAATCAGGAGTTCAGAAGTTGGAAAAATTGTTCTGTCCTGGGCCCTGTTTCTTGAAGGTCCCAAAAAATTTTCACATCCGGAAAGCCATGGCGAAATCTCAAACTTTATGATTACAGAACTTTTTTATTCACATATTCTTAGAGTGAACCTCTGAACTAAAAATGGCTTTACAGGCCCAAAAAGTTTCCGGGGCTTTTATGAAATGGGCCCCTGACGTCAATCTATGTTAACAGGATAGGCATTCAGCAGTTGGGAAACGTTTTTCACTAGAGACAGCATTGAATATTCAGAAGAAGAGAATCATAACTCCACAAAGGATACCAGATTGTCAAAAGTGAAAAATATGAAACATGTTGTGTCTCTCAGCTTTAAATTTCGCACCAAAACTGGGTCGCCCGCGTCCAGCAGTTTACTCTTACTTGAGTGTTGCTGGGTAGGAAAATAGTTGTGATATTTTAAACAAATTTGTTTCTCATCATTTTAAACCCAGAATTCTCTAGTTAAGTATTAGAAGAGGCCAAAGGAACTTTAACATTGTCTTCATTTTTGTTTGTTTTGGAGGAAAAGACTATTACCATGTCATTTCTGTAAGACAGTTTGGTCTTGACTGCAGCTCATACTGCAGGTGCAGTTGCCATATGCAAGAGATGCACTGTGCACTCTAACTACATTTACATGTGTACCATGGAATGATGGAGAGACATAGTCATGGTATTTTTGTTTTCTTACAGATGAATCTGCTGAAGAGAGTGCATCAGCTCGCCGTCGCCGTGAAAGAGGTAAGCCTATTATTTCTAACAACCATTGGAAAAATTGCCATTTAAACTTATACATGGAATGATCTTCAAGTTAATGTAAACAGTTTTAATGTACATGTTTTAGATGACCCACAACAACTGTCGGTTACAATTACAAAAAAAACGTAATCTGTGTGATATTCATGTAATTCAGAGGCACAGGTCTAGGACAAATGGTGACCTATTTCCAAAACAAAAAGTGCCTTGGCACAAGTTCGTACAGGGGTCCAGGGCAGTGCTCCCCCAGGAATATTTTGATTTTAACTCCCTTAGGGTTTCCGAGTTGTTTTGAAAAATCTTACTGATTTCATAAATTGGTGGAAACCGGTATGGATCCGCACCTGAATACAAAACTAGAGCATTAAGGGCTAAATTCCAACATACCGGTAAGAATGAGTGAATACTGAATACAATAGTGATGGAAATAAAATGGAAGACTTAGGAGTGGAAAAGTTGCTTGTTTAATGAGGGTTTTTCCCACCCTATATGCAAGACCTTGATTTTAAGTTGGGAAGGTGTGCAGCTGTCCAAGCAGCTTTTGAAAGCAGCAATCAGATCATATTGTTTTCTGGTAAGATCAAGTTATTTGTGGTTTTCTATCATGAACAGTGTAGATGTAATAATGGTACTCGCTAATTCTAGAAGGTTGTTATTTTTGGGAATTGAATAGATATACTTTCAAACTTCACCCAAAACCTTGCAAGGTTAACCTTACTTTTAGGGGTGGGAAGGGGGGGGGGGGGGG